AAAGAGCAAGTCCGACTCATAAATTATTTTGAAATATTTATTTTTAAGGGATACAGCTTCATAGGCCTGATGGTCTCAATTAATTGTCTTCACACCTTTCTCACCTAAAGACTTAGTAGGTTAAAACCTGTTAACCAACCAAATGAAGTGTCTTTTTATTTGAATTGATGAATCTATTCTGGTTCTGGAAGCTAATAATCATGAGTTTTTGTCATGTGAATTGCTGAATTAGCAAAATAACACAATGAAAAGCGTAATAATCGCCAAATCTCCAAATGACTAAAATGTACCATTTGCGCAAGTCTTCACAATTGAGACTGCTATCAATGACATCTCATAACGAGGAGATCGCAGCGTGAGTAATTTCCCCAACTTCTAAGTTTTTGCCTGAAGCTGGTTATGCTAGCATGATACCAGGGGAGCTGTAATTGGAGTGCAGTTAATACACAGGGCTGGGATTCCACCTACTGCCTTCTCACACACAAACCTTCACACATGACAAGATGGAGTATGGCAGAGCTAGACTACACTGCTTTTGTTTATTTTTTCCCTATTTTTTTCCATGTTTGTTATTAATTGTGTAGACTTTGGTTAGAGAATTTGAGAACATTATGTTCAACATGAGATAAGCAATTTGTCTGGCTTAGAAGTTATTAAAACTTGTTGAATGTTATGTGATTGTTGATGTTGCTGAAAACGTACATCCTTTTAAGATACCTATAATGAAATAAGATATACTGAGTTTTTAATTTTTTTTATTAATCTTGTATCTTAATGCTTTTAGTTTAAAGATTTATATGTAAAGGCCCTTATGAAAGACATAAAAACAAATAATGTATATCCGGATTTTAAAGTCAAGTATTTATTGATAAGCATTACTGTTTTATATATTGTCTTCATTTTAATGCCAAACTTTCAGGATAAATAAATTCTTCATGTTGTGTTTTCATCTATTTCAATACTAAAAAGAAAACCTACAGCATAAAAGGTATCATCTTGACAAGATGTCATGAATTCAGTGAATGTCATGCCATAGGTCCCTTTCAGAATTGAGAGTAGATCCTCGTCTCAGCATGGGGATGGCTTGGAGCATTCAGTCCTGCATCCTTGGCATGCTGCATATGCACAAAGCCAACTCTGAGATAGTCAGTGATGTATACCACTTAAGTACAGCTGCTTAGCGCCAAACAGATGAGGAATTGGTCGGTCATGGAACCGAGATAATGTTTATGGGTATTCTGTAGAAATTTTTGGAATGAGTGATCTGAGAGTAAATTATTTTGATTATTGGAGTATTTGGATTGAGGAGAAGTGGAGGAGGTTTTGTTAGAAACTGACTTCTCACTCTTTAAAGGGGCTGTCACTTTTTTGCAAACTGTATTATGTAATATGACGGATTTGATTTATGGGGGTGACTGCGAATCGGTAAGCTATATTGAGATTTAAATTGGTGGGACGACGGAATTGGTTCTAACTTTCTTCATTGTGAATGGTGTGGCGTGAGGGTGTTTGTAGTAATATTGTGTTGTGTCATCGTTTTGTTCTTTACTGTTAGAAGTTAAATAGCAAAACGACAAAGAGTGATTGATAATAGCAGACTGTATTTCGGAACAGGGATAGAGAGAGTTTATGATCTCTGTTCGAAATCCGACCAGACAGTTATGAGAGTGAGAAATTTTGGAGGTACCTCGAGGAAATCGGAGAATGCTATAAACAAAAGGTGGCAATCTTTTTGTCAGGGTAAGGAGCTCATCCAGGTGCAGACTAGTATTACTTATGACTTGAGGAGCACAAACTCCTCGCAACACATGGAGTTGCATTCCCATTTCCTGAGTGGAAGGACTTGGGTGATGGGTGCTTGGCTTTGTTCGTGCCATTTTGTTTTTGCCAGCGCAGCCTTGATGACCCGATCAGCATCAGTCCCGGCTGCTCACATGCCGTCAGCCCTAAACACAATGTGCGGAGTTCATGTCAGGGCAGTGCATGTTCAAAATTTACGTTACATAAAACACAGAGAGAGCACACATGGGCTTTGGAATATGTTTTGGGAAAGTATGATCCGCTTCCATAGTTTGTTTAGCAAATTTTTTGTTCAAACTTTGAAGTTTTTCTTTGATGTAAGCTTATCCAAATATGTTACATGTACAAGACGGTGTTACAATGTTAAACAGCTGCCATATATTTGACTTTGTGCCGATTGCATAATACTCTGACTCATGAACTTCTTTCTAAAAAATATGCTTATTTTTTTGCGACAATGGTATAGTGACAACACTACTGTAGACCAGTGCCCCGCCCGCATAGTAGTCCATTTTGGTAAATATTTATGGCACCTTATATCTTGTTTTAGTGGTATTGGGTAAATATTTTGGTATATTCTCCGCATGATTTATCTCCCCTTGCCATCGGCTTGAAGTATTTACAGGAAGCACCTGTCACATGACCCTGGTCTGAGATTCTCGACGGATATGATGCAGAATGTATTGTTTTGTAATGTGTGGAAGTGAAATCTACAGAGATGCAATTGGTGGAGAGTTGTTTGAAAGACAGTCTTACAACAGTCGGCCAAGAAGCAATAATTCTGGATTGGATTAGAGATCGCAGACTCGAGAGAGCTAGGCGCCCAAGAGAAGGTGCAACCGGCTTGTTCCAAATGTCACACCTTTATCCGAATGCCACACTAACACCAATAGTCCATGTGTACCGTAAAAGTTCTAAAAAGCAGACCTTTGGCATTTCTGACCCCCGAGTCTTTTTATATCCATTATCAAATGGCTTTTTAACATGAAGATTATGTACAAATAAGATATTGAATTTTACGCAGAAATGTAATAGTAAACAAATATTTGAATGTCTTTTTGGTTGTTTTTATTAAATTTGAGGATGATATCAAGATTATTTTTTCATAAAGGGTTGATGGTTTGGAGATGTGTTGATAGATACTACTCTACTTTTGATAAGGATATCCCTGTCAAAGTTGAGTGGTATATTGTGAAGGAAGAACTGATAGATAAGTGAGCTCCTTAATGTGTGTGTAGGTGGTGTCAGGTTTTACTGTAGACTTTTCTTGACTTTGTGGGAATACAATTACAGTATATTTGGTTAAGCCTGAGTCAGCATCTTATAGCCTATTGTGGTGTGAATGTCGGGCATTGTTTGTTGGTATTGACAACTTGTGTTATGACTGACAGATGACAGATTGAACATTATGGGATGGCTTGAACTCCGGAGTATGATGAAAATGGGTGAAAAAAACAGGAATGTTTTTGTAGACAGTGTGCTAAAAGAAACTGTGTTATTTGTCTGGGGAGGTGTCTGGTTGGTAGGGAGGTGTTACGTAAAGAAATCAACGGAAGTAATTGGATAAAAGCAAATACTTGCTATTAGAGGTGGGAATACTTTTGAGGAGAATAGCTTTTAATGAGCATTATATAAACCTGAATTGTGTTAGACATGTTAAAACATGTCTGATAGTTGCATTTAACAGTCACATGATACATGTACTATTGATGTTCCTGTTTTAAAAAAAGCAGTTATATAATTATTTGGACTTTGATTTAAGATGGCGTTTCAGTGTGATTCAAGATCTGACATGTTAAAGTAATTCTATACATTTATAAGGAAACACGTTTGGGAATACACAAGAATATTTATTTGCCAAAAACTGGGTATTTAATGATTCCCCAAGGAGAAGAATCTATCCTTGCTGAAAAGACGCCTGCAATAAGTGTGCTGCTTCTTCCATGAAGATTACTCATAGACGGTTTAGCTCCCCTCCCACTTGGATAAATCACATGGCACCATATTAACAAGTTGTTCCTCCAGTGGACATAAGTTGCTTCCAATCTCAAGTGATCGATTCAAATGGAAAATTATGGAAATGTTTGTGTCATGCCCAATTAGATTCCCCCGCTTGATGACCAAGTAGGGCTCGGGAGCACCATTTGTCACAAGCTATGCCACTTCCTGTCTTGGTCGACATGGAAATCGTGAACATAAATATGATTTTGTTGCCGAAATGTGTATATAAATTCCCTTTACCATGCAATGGTAGTAAGTCCTAGCCAACTTTTAATCCTGTTCTGTTCCAATGTTAAACCATTAAAATATGGGTTGGGTTAATTTGACAGCGTTTCTACGTGTTCGTGAGAGGGTATGTTTTGTCAGTGGTTGAACTGACTTTTTTATACTCGGCTGGGGAATAAACTTGCAATCTGTGACTGCAGGGTCGTTATTAGAGACCAGGAGCCTATCAAGCTCACGGACAACTGTATTAGGAAGCTATGATGTCACTTCTCTGACAAGGGCTTTTAGGCCTGTTGCTCGCCAGCTTGGAAAAAAACAATGTTGTTCACCCAGGCGTGAAAGAGAATGTGAGTTAAGGTTTTATTGGAATGGAATAGAGGCATCATTTTAATGAAACGCTGTGATGGTACAATCTTAGCAATATGAATTTCTCCAAGTGCTCCCTCCAGAGAACGAATGACCTTGGGGGCACACGCTTGTGCAATATAATTTCACCATGCATAGATCAAGTATAACAGGACTTGATATCTGTGGAGAAGTGACAGCGATACTAGCTAAATCTGTGACTGTGGCCATCGTTAATTGGATGTTCCTAAAGCAGGCCTCATCAGGGTGGGTAGCGAGCCATCCACATTGATAAACTGAGTGGCCAGAAATGGTGAAATATTGGAGTGCTATTCCAAAGCTTGATCCCTGACTTGCACGCCTCTGCTCCCCAATTTCACATCAATATTCTCATATCGGCTCGTTGCATAGTTTGACAGCTCGCAATGGTATCTCCGCCTTCATCTGATTGCGTTCTTTGTGTTGAGGAGCTGGGTGCTGCTTGGTGAATAATATTCCACTATTTCACCCGCCTTTTTAATCAGGGTGACAAAAAATTACATGTTAGCATTGATAGTCGGTATAATTAGGGAAGGGGTGGCGAGTGATGGCACTGGTGCTAGTAACAAATATGTCTTCTTGTGTTGCAGTTTATATCAACCGTCGTCACGGAGACCTGTTGCCTTCTCGCCTAGTGCTGACATGGGATTAACAGACATCGAGATGTCACACAATTTGGACTTTGACGATCCCTACTTTGATGACCGGCCGTACGAAATGGAATACGAGGTTTGTACACACTTTCCCCATCTCCCATCATCTCTTTGATTAAAATTTCATGATTCACGGACGAGGACGTGATTCATGGAAGGGACGGGTTTGATGAAGCTTTGGCTGGATTTGTCCTCGGCATGATGGAAGTGGAACTCTCCTCTCCTTCTCTCATAGCCATAACAACTGCTGAAAGAGCCCCAGTTCAATCAGAGATTCCACAAGCCTTTCTTGATCCCCCTTAGAAATCCAATACATTATTAATAGAGAATGCCAATGATTAGGAAAGCTTTCATTTGCATCCCAGCCCATCCGAAGCCCCGATGACGAGGATCAGACTTAGGATACAAGATGTTTGATCAACTGGTGGAAAAAATGGCCGATAGGATCATATTATCCCAGCGCTGGTGGAATGTTTGATAACTGCACGTCTTGGCTAACACGAGAGGGGTTGATACAATAGTTAGACAGCTCATCAGGAACAGATTATTCTTCAGCTTGTACATGATCTCAGAGTAAAAGAATAGTTTTGTATATCGATCATTTAATCGTCGGATCAAAGATCCAATATTGAATGTCGTTTGGTTTGATTTTTCTTGACAATTTGGTGCACATATTTGACAACTGATACAAGTAGATCCATCTTTCTACCTAAAGAGATACAGATTAGGATTTGGGGAAATGTAGTTTTTGATCTGAAATATCCGACTTGCCACACAAAACAAATTGCCTTTGTGGTAAATGTCGAAACGAGTTAACGAAATGTTTGTGTGTTTTACATTCACTGAATGTATAACAAATGATTTCTGTTGCTTCTTAACCAGCTTCGACCATTTGCTTTGTATTGTGTTACATTTCTTTATTGCTACAGACAAGTTGATAGAGCAATTACAGGAACCATTTGGCGGAGATTTATTGCCAGTCAGGAACCATTGTTGACAAAATACAATAAGCTGGTGGACGTTATTGAACACAGGAATGTTGTGGGGGGCTCAAAGAACAGATTCAGGACATCACACTAATTGTAATTACCGTGGCGCCGTGCCACAACCAACCTCGATTCTACTAGGTGACAAATGGTAATGACGCCTCTCCAAATAAGCACCTCACTAAACAAACATTTTTATAGGAATTACAGGAGTCAGTGCGTAATAATGTGGATACTGGGGGCTAATGGACGTTCAGTGGTCCATCTGGCGTGATGGTCAGCACGATCAATAGGTAGAGAGAGTGGACACTGCTCCACAAGGAGACAGTTATGAGCTGACCATGCAATGATGTAAGAGACAGCTGACCCCAGGCAGATAATTGTCACCTCTCCCGAAGTATTAGTATTAATAATAATGAGCATATTCATAATAAATAAAAATCCACACCCGAAAGCTTGATCAAAGTGCTACTGGTCAATGGATTAGTGTTCACTGTCATTCTCAGCTCCTTGGGCAGTATACAACCCAAGCTGCCTGTGAGGCACTAGGTTAACAGTCACATCCTACCGGGTACCCATTCACTGCTAGGTGAACAGGCATATTTTGAACAGTCGCTTGCCTTAGGAGGCCAAAAAAGGAACTGTGTCATACTTTGGTAGGGATAAGGATTATTTCAGTGTTATGTGATCAATGGGTGGTAGCTGAAAAAAGGTTCCATTATCAAACCGTGACCTTGTTTACAATAACTTATAGTCATAACAAATTGAAAGTACATAGTGAAATGGGGTAATTATGGGTGAGTCTTACTTTAGGAATTGTCATTAATTGTACACCATGGTCTTCAAGAACCTATTAATCAGTGGATGACTCATCCGACAATGATAAAGATTGGTAGTGGGCTTCCTGCTTACCGTTACATCACAATATGGCATGGGGTCTGTGAGTGCATAGGTCTGGTGCTGCCCCCTAGGGAGTCCAGAACCCAGGAATTACACAACAATATACACCAGTCAGGTCTGCCTTGCCACCCCTTGCTGTGTGAACCCACTATCTCACCCGGTACAAATGTGTGATGAGAGCTTCTTGGAGAAGAAAGCTCGGTTTGATATTGTTAAAGGGACTCCCTGACTGATTAAGGATGGTGTATGTTGTTGCAGCAGCACCAGGTGCTGCCGGAAGTGTTTGTGGGGGACTTGATCAGTTGTGATGAATGTCCTACCACACCAAGACACTAATCCCTTGGGTTTATTACCCTTGGCTCATTGACTCCCTTCACCATAATCACCCCCTCTCTCTCTGTTCATGTACCCTCTGGGGCGGTCGGGTAGCCTGGTGGTAAAAGCGTTCGTTCGTCACGCCGAAGACCTGGGTTCAATTCCCGACATGGGTACAATGTGTGAAGCTCATTTCTGGTGCACCCCGCCGTGATATTGCTGGAATATTGCTAAAAGCAGCGTAAAACCATACTCACTCACTCACTCACTCACTCACTCACTCACTCACTCACTCACTCACTCACTCACTCACTCACTCACTCATGTACCCTCCTCCCACCCGAGAACTTGGATCAAATACACTTCATCACCTCGCGAGTGAAATCCGTTTTGTATCATGTGATGATCACACCTTTCATCTTCCCTACACTCCCATCTTCTGAACCTTTCATGTTCCTTACCTTCACGCCTCTAGTTTAATGCGTTTTGCCACCCCGCTCCACCCCATTCTCATCACACCCCATGTCCCATTTATTCTTTATCCACCCATGTAAAAGGCAACTAACATGATCGGATGGTCAGGTTTGCTGTATCTCAATTGCGTAGATCGATGCTGATAGTGTCAATCACTGGATTGAGTGGTCCAGACTCAATTTTTTACAGACCGCCATCCTATAGCTTGAATATTGCTAAGTGTGGCATTAAACAACAAATAAACAAAACAAAACTTCCTTTCCTTGCAACCCCATACCCCACATAATCCTTGATCCAACCCAATTCTACCTTTCCCTACCCTTGACATCTCTCCAGGCAACCCCACCCCCCACCCCCTTATGTAGCCCCCATCCCCCCTTTTCCTCCCCTCCCTTTTCTCCCCTCCTCTCTCTCTCTTTTCCCCACCACCCCCCACCCCCCACCCCCACCCCCTCCCTGTTCATTAGGTAGCTGGCACAAGCCTAGGCCTGGTAATATATGTCTTACATAACCTATCTACAGATGTTTACACTGTCCGAGGTGAAAGGTCCGAGCTTCAGAGGGGGTGGGACATTTGGCATGTAAACTGAGAAATATCTTGCAGTTCTGGCTGTTTGAAGTTTAATTGTGGTGATTATCCTAAATATACCCACACAATCAATCTTCTGTTGGTTAGTCCTTGAAATACAAGAAATGGAACACCTGGCTGTAGCTAATTCTGACACTCTTCTGTTACCAAGGTCATACGAGTGGTAGTGGGGTAACAATCAGCAATACATATCGTATCACAATATGAGGCCCATGATACAATACATTGATTTACAACCCCTGTATCATGATACATACAATATGTTTCATTACAATTTATATTGGTGGAAAAACGAATAATAACAGAAACTGTTCACCCACCAGCTTACGCGGATTCTCTAGTATTTCATGGTTTGGAAATAAATAGCATAACATTCACAGCGCCCTCTTCCAATATGTTTCTGCCCTACAATATCCCATCTTTGATCAGACCCATGAAGATCCAGGGTAGAATAGGTCTACAGCAACCCATGCTTGCCGTAAAAGGCGACTACGCTTGTCGTAAAAGGCAACTAACGGGATCGGGTGGTCAGGCTCGCTGACTTGGTTGATGCAAGTCATCGGTCCCAACTGCTTGGATCGATGCTCATGTTGTCAATCACTGGATTGTCTGGTCCAGACTCGATTATTTACAGACCGCCGTCATATATCTTGAATATTGCTGAGTGCGGCGTTAAACAACAAACCAAACCAAACCAAAAAACATCTTTGATCTCTGATATTACTTAACAAATGATTCGGGTTGTGATTCACCTGCAAAAACAAAGAATATCAACTCATGAAATAAAGGCTCTGTATCGGGATACAAATCATATCACACACATAGTATTGGGATATGTATCGTATCATTACACGTCTAGTGTCATGATGCTCTACACAATATACATGTTAACACATGGGGGTAGCCTAGTGGTTAAAGCGTTCGCTCATCACGCCGAAGGCCCGGGTTCGATTCCCCACATGGACATAATGTGTGAAGCCCATTTCTGGTGTCTTCCCCACGCCCCCCGTGATATTGCTGGAACAATGCTAACAGCGGCGTAAAATCATACCCACTCTCTATATCGATTGGTTTCATCAATTAATCCCTTCCATTTATCAACAGTGTCAAAACACCCGGTCTGACAGCAACCCCAGGTCCCAGCATTAAGTATATCCGTTGCTAGGATTCTTTGTCTCATTCCAATCCCCGTTATAACCTAAAAAAATACCAATCTAATAAAACCCAGTAAGCTACATCCATCTAATTGGCGATTGCTTAACTGGAAACAATTTTTGAATCAATATAGAGAATTAGTGGGAAGTATTTTATCAGTGTTGCTATGAGCAGGACAACATTTGGCTTGAGATGATGGAATTATGCTCCTGGCTGTTTCCCCAACTGTTGCATCATGGGATGAGGCTCTTGATTCATTCAGCTAATGAGAGAAAAGTAAATAGTCGTGGTCGGTCACAAACACAGATGTATTGTTCTCTAAATAAGCTAGGTTCCTTCATCCATTGAAATGCCAGATGTTATCAAAACAATCCCCCCACTGCTTTATCCGACATGTTTTTGTATTAGATAAAGCTATTTGACTTCAGTGCGATATGAAATTTATCAGGCTCTTGGTAATAGGGTATTTGATTGAAGTCGTATCAGTTTGAAACTCTTCAATCATGGCTTGCATTGTTTTATGTAAACCATAAGAAATAAATTATCTCTGTTATGACATGAATCATGTTTCTGATATGATGCGTGAATGAAATTCTGTGATGGGTTGAAGCAATATTAGTTGGAAGGAAAGTGGTATTTGATCAAATGTCACCTGAT